CAAAATTTTTTTTTCAATTGAGACGTCTTCTTATAATGAATTTTCCAGATTAGTCCAACATGATCCCATGATCTTGAAAGGTTTCGTGGGAGTGACGATGAATGTGAAGGTTGGCATAAATGGCCTAAAGGTTAACAAGACTTTGCTCGTCAGGCCTTAATTACAGAGACAAGTTATAGAACATTAATAGTTTTTCATGCCATTTTTGGATTTAATCGCGAGAATCCTGACTTAAAGATAGGGTAACAGAAGAACGTCATCTCGACATTTTCGGGTAGTTATTTGACAGAACTTTCAAATTGCTCCTCGGACATTTTATGGTCCTGTTAATAATTAACCACTAATGCTTCTCCCGACGATATTCTCGTTATTCTTCCAGGGGAATTGAAACAATTTTTTGACAAATGAAGAAATTGTAACCCAGAAACCGAATTGCGATTATTTTCTTTTCTCCATATATTGAGAGAGATCCTTCTCTACAAGGTATCTGTTTCCTTGCAGCTGTTCCCCTTTTGTTTTTGTTCCCCCTCTCTCACGTTGGCCCGCATTAATGCGTGACGGTCATTATTGCGCGTTTCTCCTTTTCAACTTGCTATTTGTTGACAGTGACAAATGACTTGCACTGCCTTCTTCTAAACTGCTAATTTAGAAGAAGCCTATTCCGCCGAACTTGCGAGTGTATATATGTTATTTATATTTATAATATATACCCAGAGATACCCGGATTATGGATGGAGACGGAAATTCTTTCTAAGCAGTGATAATAGATCTTCCTTTACCCTCGTCCCTTATCCAGCATCCACAGGGTGAAATGGAGAGAAGGGAAAATCGAAAGTACTGCAAATTAATGCGATATATCCACCGAATGATAGGAAGTAAGATTCACTCGCCAAAATCACATGCTATTTGAATTTACATGTGGTCTAAATGCTACAGAACTTTTTTTTCAATTGAAACGTCTTCTTATAATGAATTTTCCAGATCAGTCCAACATGATCCCATGATCTTGAAAGGTTTCGTGGGAGTGACGATGAATGTGAAGGTTGGCATAAATGGCCTAAAGGTTAACAAGACTTTGCTCGTCAGACCTTAATTACAGAGACAAGTTATAGAACATTAATAGTTTTTCATGCCATTTTCGGATTTAATCGCGAGAATCCTGACTTAAAGATAGGGTATCAGAAGAACGTCATCTCGACATTTTCGGGTAGTTATTTGACAGAACTTTCAAATTTCTCCTCGGACATTTTATGGTCCTGTTAATAATTAACCACTAATGCTTCTCCCGACGATATTCTCGTTATTCTTCCGGGGGAATTAGAAAAAATTTTTTGACGAATGAAGAAATAAATTTAGCCAAAAGGTAAATTTTCTCGGTCGATACAATTTTCTGCACGACTGCCTGTTTCCTCACCATCAAATGAAGCGGTTCGTCTGAAATTGTGAGAAATGTGAATTTTTTTCCGAACTGAATAGCTGCCTTGTTATGCAAAGAATGAAAACTGACTCGGCTACATCCGATGAGGAAAATTTTCATAATTCCGGATTCATGCGAAAAGCGTCGCGAGGTATTGTATGAACTGATTCCAACGTGAGCGTGAAATGTTTCTTCAAAGTTTGCTCTTGGGTTTCCCCAGGCGAAACGAGATTTGCTCAGGATCCAGGACATTGGTAACCGAAGCCGGATTTAAATTTAAGGCCGGATCGAATTCGCGTGCCCTTTTTTTCGTGATTCTATTTGCATTGCTTTCCGCGGGCCGACGTCAAGGAGGGGCAAGAGTCGACCGCAGTAACGAGACGCGAATTCGAAATTGAATTCCGCGAAGCGGTGCGGGAAATTTCAATCAGCCGCTTTCTTTTTTGTCTTTCTGCTTTTTTTTCTTTCTTTTTCTCCTTTCCTCCTTCTTTCCGTCGGACGAGCGGGAACTTCACGCTTCTTGGCGCGGCCCGTCATTCGCGGCGGTGACGGGAAAGCAGCGAGCCTTTGTCAGATTCGTCGGTTTCATCCTGTCCATATTAGATTAACGTTGGCACCCGACTGATTCCATGACTATTACTCCGGGCCTGCTGCACATTGGCACGAGGCCGTTCCCGTTCCGTCCTACATTCATTATCGTTCGCCCCGCTGCTTTCTACGTCTGTTAGCCCGGGCGTCTCAACTCATTCAACCCGAGGTTATCGCATTACCGATGACACCCTGGTGGAAGACTGCGGGGGATCTGCAAAGAATTTCTGCGCTTTGCGACGGCAAACGAGCCTTCCTTCGGTTTTTACTTTTAAAAGAGAGAGAGAGAGAGAGAGAGATTAAAAGAGAGTGACAGAGAGAGAGAGAGAGGGAGGGAGAGAATTGAAAATTTTGATTCCTCGTCAGCCGACTCCAATTTTTAACGACCGAGTGTTGGGGTACTTGTTCCGCATTTCCCATGATTTTCGGAAAATATGTCTTATGCACCATCAGTCCATTAAATTAAATTTAAAGTTCAGGGTTAGAGTACCGTTTACAGTACAGTACTTCGATTCACGCAATAGCATTGTATTCTCTTTCTGATCCACTCATCTTTCATAACGCTTCACAACGGCGGAAGATACATTTTTTTGCCTAATTTGTTTTTCCTTTTGCGAGCTGACTCCGACTTTCGACGGGACTCGTTTGACGAAATTTTCGTGCATCATATCCCATGTTTAATAATTCGTTTTCATCCTTTCGTCTTACAATTTTAGGCGCAAGTTTCCAACGCTGGTGCATTAAATATATTATCGGGAATGAGAGAGTCGCATACGTCGATTTCCACAAATCTTCTAACTTTGATATTCACGTAGTCGAGTCAATTTCACCCTTCTATTTTACAACGGGAGCCTATAGTACAGGTAGGATGTTTGATTGATATTTCCCGTGTAATTTGTACAGATTGCTTTATTTCTTTTGTCGATAATCTTGGAGTAAATATATCTGCAGGTGTACGAGTATACTACGGGAGATTTGATGTGTTGGGAATGAGTGAGCCACGTGCTTCGATTGATTCAAACCTTCAGTTGATGCAAGCATCCTTTATTGCAACCACCTTTCGAGGTAAGTCCTCTTTTTTCCGAAATTTGATAGGGGGCGAAAGAGAGAAAAAAAGAAATAATAAAGAAAATAAAAAGGAAAGAACTTGAAAATTCTTGAAAAATCCCCCTGGCTTTTGGCACTTATCATGCTGATATTGAATTTACTTGGATTTCCACCTACATTTCAAGTATAGACATTAGGGAAACTAAATCACTCGAGTTTAATATGCTACTTTACTGTAATTTTTAGCCACACACTTATGCAAAGCGCCAATCCTGAAAATGTCAATATTTAATTCGCTGCCCATTGAAAATCGGATGTCTTGAATATGCATTTTTCAAAGCAGCAAAAAGCTATTCTTGCTTTAGCTTTGCTCAAGTCTTTCTAAAAACAGAAGATAATTGAAGGGCTATGCTGTACATAAATTTATTTTTGTAAAATTCAGCTGAGGAAAGACAAAAGCTTGCTTTCTTGTTTTATAAATTGTTCTGGATCATTATTTCTGAATGCAAATGCAAGGTCAATTTCATACTTGTTACAGGAATAAATTCATTTGTGCATTAGGAACAAGGCTTTTGAAGTCACTGTTAGCACAAAAAGCATGTGCATCAGTGCGATAAGAATCTGGCATGAAGGTTTTCCAGATTCTCATCACCGAAGAAAAGTTAGGTTTATAAAAGTAAGAATATCTCAAGATCTGTTAGTATGATAAATTTTTATATGCTGAAAAAAAGTTAGACAACATCTTTAGCTTTAATTTAAGATGTCCTGGAAGTTTCCATGTCAAAAATTCGCGGATTTACATGCTTCGGAAGTTTGTGTGTCAAGAATTTCGCCATAGGCAAAGCATGTTTTCTTTTCTGATTTTATTAATTTTTGGAAGCAAGTTTTTATTCCGCAATGTGAGATTGTATTTGGTAATTGTATGTGTGATTCTAGTCTTTATGATTGTCTGTGACGAGACAATACTGAAGTCCTCTTTTAACATCCACGGAGTGAGTATGCTCCAGTTTCCCTTATTTTTGCAGCCCTAATTGTGGATTTGCACTTGAACTTAAATTCCCTTGGAGGCGGGGTAACTGCCTCAGCACTCAGATGTCTTGCATTTGGAATGTGTTCAATGCAGCTTAAAATCTTTAATACATACTCAAATACATCGAGTTGGGATGGTAATGAATGTGTGTTTAGAAATCCAAGTTAATATTGATGTTGAAAACTTTTCCCGTTTTAAAATAAACATCTTGAGCAAGTTGGTATGAAGACCGGTTCATCCTGAAATCCAATAATTTTACCAGAAGAAACAGTGGCATCCGCTTGGATGCTGTAAGAGCAACGAAAAAAAAAAAGCGTATACCGCAGCAGTCATAAAATAAACATGCATTCATTCTATGAATTCGAAATGAAGTTGTCCACACGGAAAAATTACGGAATGCTCATTTTCCTTCCAAGAAAACGTTAGAACGAATGCATTGTTTGTGAGAATGAGGCCATTTTAATGGTCTCGGCTTTGCATGTTTGTTTACGTACGGGTGGCTGTGGCTGTCATCACGATTCAGACCGTTTTAAGACTGTCGCCGTATTTTCATATTCGTCGAACAGTCATTACTCAATGCAGATTAATTCAAATTATATCCAAGTATCCTTTGATATAGGTTCTCCGTTCTGGGAAGCACGACGGGTCATTGAGACTCAGCCACAGTGTATGTCCATAAATTTAAAATGTCCTTTTTTCATGCGTGCACTGAACGATCGAGCGAGACGATCATATGTTGTTGAAACGTGGATCCTTCAAAGTCGTTCACTTCGTTATTGACCTGCAATCCTAGATTATTGGTTTCTTGAGAACATTTTACTCGTCGGAATAGCATCTTCATAATTAAATTTTTTTGTGACAGTATAATTATTGTCATTGGTGTGCCACTTCCCTCTCTTTGAATATCAAGAACGAGCCTTATTCCTTCGGTTTATATTTCTTAAAAAAAAAACAGAGTGAGAGAGAGAGAGAGAGTTTAATTTTTGTTCCCTGAAATCATCGGCAGTATTTTTCCTCCGGAAATTTTAGATTTAGTGATACTGTAATAGGTACAATAGAGGATAGTGTTGAGTGGTCTATGTACATATTTTCGTACCGGAAATCTTTAACCTCTAGATTTCCTTTGTGCAGAATAAAAACCCTTCAAGGGGTTAAACTGAATCTTTAAGAGGCTCTCCTAAACGGCTAAACTAAAATATTTTGGCTTAAATTCATAATGGCTGCCTAAACCGTTCATTTTATTTGGATTTTCTAAATAATTCTTCAGATAATGTTATCTGAAATTATAAATTGAAGCCTTACGGCAATATTTCTTGAAGCATCACCTATCTCTGAAAAAGGGAGCATTAATGAACTCAAGCTGTATTTGGTTCTCTCATCCATATCAAAGGCGTATATGAAAAGTAAATTAAGATGGAGCATTTTTGACGTTTTCTCTTATAGTTTGCCCCTTTTCAAAAATATGAAACCTCATAAACTCAAGCCATATTTTTTTTTCTTTGACAAAAGTACAGTACTGTATTAATTTGAAAATCGTTCAAATGTAAACATTTTTGAATTCTTTTCTGAACTCTCCAAAGCAGTTCAGCGAAGCGGCGAAACATTTTCGGTTATTAAACCTGGAGGCTTGTTGAATCCAGAGGATTAATATTCCAAGTATCAGATCCGAAGGTTTGTTTATCAGAGTTTTCCAAAAATTTGTCATACGAGGCGTTAAATACTTCTTTACAGTATTCTGGAGTTCTTTCTAAATATATATATTTTTAAATGGAGCTTCTCACGCCTATTCTGTGTTTTACAAGTTCAAGACATCCATGTGTACACATTTTTTTTTACTTGAGTAAAACTTATTGCAGTCCTCGTCTATTTTTCCATCTAGGAATATGTAAGCTAATTCCAGTAATGTCTTATTTTCCAGAGATGAATGTGAATCCCATGGGGAATTGATGCGGAGCCCTTAGTGCTCCGCGGAGCACAAGTTGCAAACCTCTGCTCCAGACAATAATATGGTATGTATTCGAGGGAAAATATAAGATTGCAACTGACTTGAACACGAGCTTCTGAGAGCCCGAGGCGCTGACTCAGCTCCTCCCTCATGAAAGCGTCTGGGTAATGAGTCTCGTCAAAGAGCCGCTCCAGCTCGTTGAGCTGCTCCAGCGTGAAGTTGGTCCTCGACCGACGTTGCTTGACTTTCGCCGCCCCATGATTGACTGGCGGCGGTGACGCGGACGCCTGTCGATTGTCGAACTTATCCACGTCCCGCTCGTCGTTGGACGACGGGTCAAGCTGGGTCGCGTCAGACGTCAGCGACGACTGCTTATTGAGCGCGTCGAAGGAGTCAGCCTTGCGACACACCCGCGACATTTGCTCCTTGTCGTGATTCACTTCGTCTTCCGACGGCGTGCTGATGGATTTGCCGGGCGAAAAGTCCGCGTCATTACCCTGCACGTCTATGGTTTCCGGACTTCCGTCCGATTCTGCACCTTTGAAAAACAAATCTAGCTGTGCTTCATGCGCAGAACTTACGTTTCACTAAAAATAATTCATAAAAAGGACCCATACATCGAATCCGTGTTGCCCTGAAATATTATTCCCGTTTTTAAAAACATGAAGCCTATGCAGTAACTGCTTTCGTCCAACTTTCTCTAACAAAAACAAATGGTAGCATTTCTCGCTTGCACTGCTCTTGTTTTCATCAGTTTATTTCAAAATGAGTGGGGTGATTTTTATAGGACTGGATTGATAATCACTGTCATACTTATTAAAAAAATTTTCCAGTGAAAATGGATGAATACTTTCCGAATATAATTTCTTTGGAGGAAAGTGTCCCTTGTAAGAACGCCTCACGGAATCAACGTGAATTTATTTTTCCTGAAAAATTAATCATCCAACGAACCGAATCTCATGCAACAAATAACCAGAGTTCCCTACAGAAACTTTCAGGGTTTTCAAGTGTAATGCACATATTTCATGCAACTTCCTCTGTCAAGAAATGTTTAGCTTTTTTTTTTAGCTGCGCTCGATTTTATGCAATTTAATATGTACTCGTTTGAGGTGATAATGCAAGAAATGTGACTCGAGTAAATATTTTTAATTATCTTGAGATCCCCAAAATGGTATCAGGACAATAGTTTTCTATCTTTGACATAGATATTTCGGTTTAGGTTTCAGTTTAACTGAAATGTCTCCGGTTTTCTTAAAATGCACATCAAAATAAAGGTTGTTTAGCATAATTTCAATTCCGATAAGATGTTGATGTTGCAGCTTATCGATTCCTTGAGCAAGCAGGCAGTCTTTCGAACCAGTTACACTCAGACGTAGTAAGAATAATTTTTTATTCGCTACTACTTAGCAGTGATTATTCTTAAATATTGTTTTAAATCTTTCGACGTATTTTAATTTTTTCGCGTAATTTATTTCCCAGACCGATGGCAGGAATCGACAAAGTTGAAAACTTCAATTCGAGGCCAAGATTTTTTTATTTGGCCCCCTTTTTAGTGACACTCATCTTGTATCTTGTATTTTGTATCTTGTAAATTCGGTTGTGTGCAAACAATTATAGTCGAGTTTTGATTAGCATTATGGGGGCGCGATTAAGGCTCAAACAAAGTCTACAGTTTCAGAGGTTCCATCATGTTTACTTTTCAAATTTTCGCGGATTTTTCAGTTTGGAACGCATCAATTCTTCCCGAGTACTTGCATTGAAAAACGCATTTCATTTAAGGAACTCTTCATATAATGAACCATTGATCAAAACAAATTAGGTTCGTTGTACGAAATACTCAATTCCTTCTTTAACGAAGTCTGGAAGGACGATGGAAGAAATTCACAAACATTTCCTTGCGATAAAGAAAAAGTTTTCGCGCATTTCCGGATGCGGGAAAGCTGTTGAAATCCAGTTTCCGTAATATCCATTTACGTTTCAGTGACAGCTTTGATGCAATTTCAAATACTGTACTTTCCAGGAGAAAAGCATCCAGCTTTCTCCAGGAAATTCCCACTCCTGATGTGCAATAATACTGTATTACATGGCACCCCCACTGAGAACGGGAAAAATGCGGTTTCTACCAAGGGATTTTTGTTATTGGTCGAAATCGCTTCACCAACGTTTTCACGAAAGAATCCCGTAGGAAGAAGCTAACGTTTCCTTGATAGAAATGAAAGGACGAGGAGAGGGATGGAAGCAAGTTTTCAGATTTGACAAAGTCGCGGACGGTCTGAGTGCCAAGAAATGTTCGGTGAAGAAAAATTGTGTTTCTGAGAACGTTGGCAAGCATAAGTTTTCAAGCCTCGGATTATTAAACCGGGGGAAAAATCACTGTGAGTAGAACATAGAACATAAAACATAGAACATTTAAGCCAACACACGTTTGTTAATATCAGCTCAAAACTAATCGTAATACCCCCGCGCTAATTCCGAGTTTGTGAGTCTACAGTTTCAGAGGTTCCATGTTTACTTTTCAAATGTTCGCGGATTTTTCAGTTTGGAACGCATCAATTCTTCCCGAGTACTTGCATTGAAAAACGCATTTCATTTAAGGAACTCTTCATATAATGAACCATTGATCAAAACAAATTAGGTTCGTTGTATGAAATACTCAATTCCTTCTTTAACGAAGTCTGGACGGACGATGGAAGAAATTCACAAACATTTCCTTGCGATAAAGTAAAAGTTTTCGCGCATTTCCGGATACGGGAAAGCTGTTGAAATCCAGTTTCCGTAATATCCATTCACGTTTCAGTGGCAGCTTTGATGCAATTTCAAATACTTTCCAGGAGAAAAGCATCCTGCTTTCTCCAGGAAATTCCCACTCCTGATGTGCAATAATACTGTATTACATGGCACCCCCACTGAGAACGGGAAAAATGCGGTTTCTACCAAGGGATTTTTGTTGTTGGTCGAAATCGCTTCATATTTACCAACGTTTTCACGAAAGAATGCCGTAGGAAGAAGCTAACGTTTCCTTGATAGAAATGAAAGGACGAGTAGAGGGATGGAAGCAAGTTTTCAGATTTGACAAAGTCGCGGACGGTCTGAGTGCCAAGAAATGTTCGGTGAAGAAAAATTGTGTTTCTGAGAACGTTGGCAAGCATAAGTTTTCAAGCCTCGGATTAGGCCACAAACCACGTTGAGGATCCAGATGCAGAAATTGAGCGACAAAAAAAATTCGTCGGATACCAAGATGCTTGATGCAAGGGAATGTTCAAAATTTCGGATTTATTGTGATAGAAAAAAAATCATTGAGATTGGCTGCGAGTGGGTTGAACAAGAATGATTGCGTAACTGAATCACGAGGATGTGGTTTCGAGTTTTCTCCTGATTACAAAAGCTGTCCATTTTATTCTAGTTAGGCTATCAGTCTATCGAAAACACCTCGTAAGCATTGCTTACTAATTTATTTTGAAACAAAAAATGAAGGGGTAAAGAAGTGAAAGGAAGAAGGGCGGACTCACAACTTCAATTTAATTCCACTTCTAATGCGGAAGTCGGGACCATATAGTGAGAGTTTCGCACGGAAGTGAAGTGTGGTTATAGGCAAGGAGAATTGCAACATTGATTACCTTTAATGTCGGACTCCTCCACGTCAACAGTCACCTCGTTCTCGGGAGACTCGATCCGATTGTTATCCTGCTCGGTCATCCTGAACATTTTCGGATCTGAACTCGGTTCGCGAGTCGGAGTTGTTCTCAACTCTTCCGCGGTCATCGAATTCACCTGTGAGTTCATTTTGTCAAACAAAGACCGCTGCCATCCCAAGGGCAACGTAAAATTCGGCCAATTCATGACTGAACTGAGTTGGTTCAGCATGGACGCCTGAGTCGGCATTTGCTGCAAACTCCGTCGAATAGCGGACAAACTCGCAGCGTTGCCCGAGTTCATTTCTCCGGCTTGCAAGTCCAACGATGTGAGCAGAGGACTTGATAGCCGATATTCCCCCACTCGAGATATTCGCGTAGGTCCTAGAAAAAAAAAACGTGACATTCTCAATTCCATAAAGTACACTATTGCTTCAATTTTCACAAGCGCTATAATATACTTATCTTAAGGTATTTCTACCAGTAACAGGAGAGAAACGCTCCATTTCAAGAGCCCCCGAGGTATAAGTCGTATAACTCGCAAGTCGAAACTTGACGGATTTTTACTTTAATTTACCCGTTCAATGGACGTGCGTGTGTGACATATTCTCTTGCCTTTCTTTAATCTGCACAAGTAGTCCCAAGGACCAAATCAGCTCCAAGGAAATGAAGGCCAATTTTCAGAAGAAAACAAAAGAGGATATGCCATCTAATGAAACCATGGGTCATCCGGAGATTTTTCGTGTTGATTTACGCACGTTAAGTTCCAATCAGAACTGTACATTGTACATTATGCTAACAACAATTAGCGTAATAACAAGAGTATTGAATGCTATCGAAGTTTCTAATTTTTCNCGTAAAATTCGGCCAATTCATGACTGAACTGAGTTGGTTCAGCATGGACGCCTGAGTCGGCATTTGCTGCAAACTCCGTCGAATAGCGGACAAACTCGCAGCGTTGCCCGAGTTCATTTCTCCGGCTTGCAAGTCCAACGATGTGAGCAGAGGACTTGATAGCCGATATTCCCCCACTCGAGATATTCGCGTAGGTCCTAAAAAAAAAACTTTACATTCTCAATTCCATAAAGTACACTATTGCTTCACTTTTCACAAGCGCTATAATATATTAATCTTACGGTATTTCTACCAGTAACAGGAGAGAAACGTTCCAGTTCAAGTGCCCCCGAGGTATAACTGGAAAATCGAAACTTGAGGGATTTTTAGTTTAATTTACCCGTTCAATGGACGTGCGTTTGTGACACATTCTCTTGCCTTTATTTAATCTGCACAAGTATTCCCAAGGACCAAATCAGCTCCAAGGAAATGAAGGCCAATTTTCAGAAGAAAACAAAAGAGGATATGCCATCTAATGAAACCATGGGTAATCCGGAGATTTTTCGTGTTGATTTACGCACGTTAAGTTCCAATCAGAACTGTACATTGTACATTATGCTAACAACAATTAGCGTAATAACAAGAGTATTGAATGCTATCGAAGTTTCTAATTTTTCTGGGCGATACTTGAATTCAGGTCTTCAGACGGAAACACCAGCGTTAAAAATCTTAAATTGAAAGCATGCAGCATCCATCGAAAGCTATTGGCTTTAGAATAACAGGTACGAATATATTCAGCTTGCAAAAATATACTTGCTTTTTTTTAATGCGCTGAATTGTACGCACTGTTGTGCAGAATAACCATAAAAACGTACGTCTCCTAATGGGACAGTCTTATTACATGGGATTATGCAAAAAATTACCAGCGCGGAACTAGCAAGTTTTTTCTTTTATGAATCGTTCCCTATATAACTTCTGCCTTTCTGAGCAAGAAATCCGCAAAATCAAAAATAGCTTTCATGCAAATAACTTCTTCATTCAAACCTATGTATGCGACCGTTTGGTGAACTCGAGATTGTTGCAGTTGAATCGCGCATGTTGAATAAGACGAACTTCACTACAAATTTGTTACTGTGTACCATATATGCTTTAATTAAATTCGGGAATCTCAGGAAACACAAAAATTGATCATCAGTTCATTGTATACAAGAAAGAAATACAATGTTCTAATAGCTCTGACCATTTTGAGTTTATACGTGGATAGAGATGGGGTTGTAAATTGCGCACTTGAAAATTCGTCATTTATGAACGTGAACACTTGAAAACATTATTAATGGAATAATTTTAGTCCCAGAAAAAGTTGCATGAGCGCGTTTTTGGAACGTGCGTGAAAGAGTTTTGAACCTTAAATGCAATTATTCTTGAATCGTATCATCTGAACAAGAAACTTGAGATCCTCAGGGTGGGGGATCCTAGATTACTCGACGAATGATCGGCACAAACTATAGATTCTTTTCTCAAGTATTGCATGACGAAGCCATCGACTCACCACGACTTGCCAAATTGGCGAGGATGCCGAAGCCTGCAGAACCTTGGTGGACGCCAGGGCGCCCGAAATTGCTCAATTTTCTGTTCGGCGACACTCGGCCGTCCACTGGCTGATCCCGGAAAATTCCGGCGTGTTCAGTGGAGAAACACTCCTGCTGACGAAACGACTTGGACACGAATTCACTGAGGTGCTCCATCAAGTCACTGAAAAGCCACGACGAATATAAGTTCTGAGGTCCTGATGACAGGGAGAAACCCTTTCGATCCTCATGAATCGAATCACTTATGAATGTTGGCTGATCCGCGAAGCCTTCGTCGAAGTTTCAATCATTTTATGCGATCTAGTTACCTCGCGATCTTCAACGATTAAAAATCGGGCAGGAGTTGAGCCATGAAACCAGCATCGTGAGTTATTTTTGAATCTTTTTAAATTTAGTGATTTCCAGAACAAAAACGAAACGAGGCGAAACATTTTTGCGCAGAGATACCCAGAAAAGTTGCGACACGCCACACTGACATGAATCAAAAATAAGGAGAGTGAGACATGATGCTGAGGGGATCTTGTGTTGTTAGTTTAGCAAAATTGTTATTCGTAATTCTGCTATCCAGTGAAACGATGTCATCTGGTTTATAACGTGCTCTGGCTTAATTTTGTCGCGCGCAGAGCGTTTTCTTGGATTTCTTCCCTGAATAATTTTTTATGAAAAATGAACTGTCGATCTCGAGGGTTCGAGGCAGTAATCCTCGACCGCAGTTCAGTTGAGATTTTTGTCTTGATTGGTGTTGCAATTCGGTTTTTTTATGGTAAGTTTTTGGTTACCCGTAGGTTCTGAGGCACTATGGAGGATCGGGATTTGTCGGCCAATCCGTTCCGGTCGTCCAGAGTGGGTGCAAACGACTGCAGCATCCGGGATACATCCCGTCGTCGAGACCCCGGCTCAAGAGTAAAGCAGGGGAGGAGCCTGTGCCAAACCAGGTCACTTCTCTGTCGATCCTCTCCCTCCCCGCACAAGTGTTCATCTCCCGAGCTGCTTCTCCACCAATGGATTTCTAGAATATTTCCCCAAGAGATTCGCCGGAGTAGGGCTCCGCTCACTGGCATAATAGCAAGCGGAAAGAAAAGTGCAATCGACCTAGTGGTGTGCCAGGGCGGAGCTCTAGACGAGATACTCCCCGGGAGTCGATTAAATCAGGTTGACGAGCATTTGGTGCCGTATTGCTCTTCATTTCTTCCTACAACGATTTGTATTGCAGCGTCTGACCCCCTTCCCCCCTTTTTTTTCTCCTCTTCAGGCGGCCGCATTATCTTCAGAATACGCGGTTGAAATTTACTCAGAACTGCAAGAACGTCTGCCAACCTTGGTGACAGAATCACCAAAAAATTCCGGGGTTTGAATATTTACTTTTGACTCCGCTCAAGCGTGGAAACGCGCGTACTTTTCGTCCCGCAGTGAGCGTACCACCAATGGTACAAGGGGAACTTGTGTGTTGCCACGTGAAATGGCCCACGTAAACAATTCCAGGGGCTAAATAAGTAAAAGTGGATTCCTGTGGCCATAAAATCCGAGTTGAAACACCCGAGGAAGGTATTGAAATAATTATTCTCCAGAAAGATGAAGCCTTGATGCCAGGAAAGGTCTTGTACAAGTGGTATAGTAATAGTTAACCAGCAGTTACACGTTGGAGGGAAATGCTGGCTCACGAAAATGGGCCCGTCTTCCAAGTGGCATAAATGTGGTGTTTAGGATGCTATTATGAAGAAAAACATGCACACGAATTATTTTGTTCTGAAAGAGTTTGTTTATGGGAGCCTTCATCTTTCGCAACTATAGCCGGACTACTGGAACAAGCAAAAACTCAGCAACAACATGCTCAGTGATAAAAGCCAATAAATTGGTCCTTCTCCTGGTCTGTCATATAGCCAAGTCTAAATCAAAGACATCTTTAGGATTTGGTTGCAAAAACCAGTTACGAAGCAAGAAGCTCAGTAAAATTTTTTGAACCGTGAAATCTACATGAAAGGTGGAAAATCCCTGGCCTAAATTACGATTCACACGTCAACTGCATGATACTAAGGCAAACTGCAACAAAAATTAATAAATTTCGGTTATTTAAAGTGTCAGTCACCAGCTGTTTCTGTGCGAATGAAAAGCTATTAGAAAGAAAGAAACGCATAAATTGTATGCGTTTCAGGTTCTATGATGGTCATTCGGGGAGAAAAAATTGAAAAAGTTTGCATGATAAAAAAAAAATTGACAGAAAAATGTGGGCAGAAAATTCAGTCCATAATCGAATGACTTTTTTAAATTCCAAGAAAAAATTGCATACGGAAAAAACCCTGTTGATTTTATATGGCTGATTAAATTCATCTCTCGCGTGATCTCGTTTCCTTTCTTAAAACTTGATCTTTTAAAGAAAAGGCCGGTTTGTATTGTCACTGTGGCCCATGCACCATTATTTGTAGCTTACAGGGCACATCCGCTTTTTTCAGCAACGTTTCTTGCGCTAAAAAAAATGCGGCCTGTAATCGATTAAATATATTGGTTACTTTTTTTTTATCAGACCTTGCTTGGGGAAGAACTGACGAATTTTCGAGACAAGAGGATGCTTCATTGGGCAATAAAAATTAGAGAACCACTTGAAGGGCACTGGACTTTACACAGGCGAGAATATCTCCCCACTTACTTCCTTCAAAGTACCGTTGCTCTGCTAAGCGTCTCTTCAAAGATAAAAGCGCGTGAATGTAAGGAGTAGTCCCGTTCGAGTTCATTATTCGAGGTAAAAGACGTTAAACGGAGTTTACGATTGTTATTCAACCCACATACAGGGGACTGAATCGAGGGGAACTGAATAGAATTCAGTACTATACTGCAATTTTTCAGCAACAGAAACAGTACGACACCTAAAAAAATAATAATCGGGGGGGGGGAGGGGGTGGAAAATGACCGGCCTGAAAGCCGCCTTGACGCGGAGACACCCAGTGCGGATGACGAATGTGCTCCAGGCTGCAGGAAGACGCGCCCGGGGTTCCAGTGGCACCGGACTCGGAATGAATGGGGCGGCCGGGATAATCGAATCACGCGCCGTTCGAATCGCCCGCGATATGGCAGGAGAATAATATTCAATCCAATTAATCCATCCCGGAAATGATGCGTGGGAGGAGAGAAAAATAACGCGGGGGAATTATGAAGGATGGTGGTGCTCGCTTTGGAGACGGGAACGAGGATCGTATTGGGCAAGGTTATGCTGGGATCGGTGCCCGCGGATGCTCAATCTTCGTTCTCCCTGGCTTGCTCGGAAATGACGCTTTGGCTCCGCCTGACCGACGTCACTTTGATTTCATGCCACCGCCACTGTGTCTCCCGTGCACCTCAAGGAATTTCCAGCGATCCCTGAAGTGACGGAGAATTCCTTTTTCTTTCCATCCGCATGATGAACTGTCAGCGACGAAATGAAACTCCTGCTCAGAGACCTAATTTAATGAAAAAAAATCTGATCAGGAGAAAATTTTTACCTATATGGTAAATCTAGAATAACTATGTGATCCTGATTGAGAAATAAATTCAAACTTTTTACAAAGTTTGAAAAATGTTGATGCCCCGGTGTGGCTAAGCAACTCCAGATTGTTCATACATAAATTTATCGAGATTTCTCTGGAAATAGAATGCAGCATATATTCCTTTCTGAAGAATTCAAAGGGTATCTTTGGAGCGATCATGAATTGATAAAATTTTTTAATTTTAAAAAGTATTTTTATGAATAACCTCGTTGGAAATTTTTTATTTATCATTTGCATGTATTTTTAAACTACAATACATTAGGATTGCAAGTATCCCTTAAATAAAATATGTTTGAAAGATATAAAGAAAGCGTTCAAAACAATTATACTGTGCTCGAAGAATTCGCAAGTGCTTTCTAGTATGTTCTGCAGATTAAAAAACATTTGGGTCTGATTTCTGAATTTCAAAACGCACAAATTGTTTGGATGCCTGGAAATAAAACATATAATAAGCACCTGGGTTTGTTACTGTCTCGAATTCCTTAAAGTAATAACCTGGCTTTCCCGTATGTTCAACGAATCGAAATACAATAGTGTAAGGTCTGATTTCGGAATTTTGAAACGCTACTCGAAAGAAAATGTGTCCGGAGGAGCAGACTTTTAGACGGAACCCTGAATTTGTGTATGAACCAAAGTCTTAGATACACCTCGTACCCTTTAATCTCTCATGCAATGAACATGCAATTTCCCGTACCGTATATGAGACCTAATGCCTGCATTCACTTTCGTGCTCAACTGAGAGTACAGTAATTCCGAATCATTTTCTTGTAGTTCAAGGTGCTGTTTGCAGACTCTGCTTTGAATGTTCGTCTAACTCATTAAAAATTCAGTCTTCCACGGAAACCCCTTGATTTTCCTCATGACCTTCCTCTGAATCTTAAATGATATTATCATCTAATCCTCTCACTCTTGTTGCAATTATTTCGGTACATAATCTGCAGTTGTCGCAGTCTTTGAGAATTTGTAAAGCCATGCTTTCCACCTCCAACGTGTTTTGCATCAGCAGTTCCAAGCTTTATTTATGAATTGCTTCTCTTCTACCATCTGTAAGAAGTGCCCCCAACAATAAACTCTAGTACTTCATATCTGTGAGGGTACATTTTATCGTATACGTATTTTTTTAGGTAACACAGTTGGCGATATTTGCTCTGATATTTGCAGTTCTGTACACATTTTCTTCGCTGCGTTAGAAAAATCATTGTATGACCCTCATGTGAAAGATGCATATATATGACTGTAATCCGTGAAACTGTGATATGGACTGACTTGTCTAGCCTACCTAAACGATTGGACTCGATCCAAACGAATCCCATTCAACCTTATTGATTATACCGAGCAAATTTGATTTTCCACTGCAAGAGTAAGCTGATCAATTCTGTTAATCAGATGAAATACGAACAAACGGGTGTATTAATGTACTAGTGAAGTCTGTGACAGGTTCTCTTAATGTTCAGTTCACCATTTATCCCGATTCGTATATTTTCAGTAAGCAATCTGTTTCAGGTAAGAAATGTAAACTATGCTGCATTTTCCGGAATCATATCATTAGGCAACCTGTGAGTCTTGCTGAAGGGTTTACAACTCTGTTGATTCACATTTAACCTCTCGAGGATGACGGCCTCAACATATTTTATTTCA